TCGTCGCTAACACATTGTACGTAACAGTTATTGTTTTAATCTGGATTACCCATAATTCCAAGTGGTGGTGTAAAAAATAAAATACTTAAATACGTTGTTCTTTTAAGATCTTTATTGCGGTTTGAAACATATTATATGAGTGTATGATATTATTATCAAAAGTACCTCTGTCTGCTTTGCTATTGGTGTCGTGTTTAAACGTCTCACCATTTTGTTGAAATCTGCAATGTGTTGCGGTATAAATACGGTCCAGTCAGTCACTTCAATGTCAGGTGGGTTTAAGAAGAATTTTTCCCACCATTATATCAGCAAAGAGTCGTTCTAGTCTACAGTTGTGTAGGGGTCCACCCAGGTAACAGTGATGGGGCCCCTAAGAGATTGTGGGCCCGTAAGTAACTGCCGTCTCCAGAGGCGTAGCCAGAAAATTTTTATAAGGGTGTCCAGTAACCAATATATATCACTTCCACCTCTTCTTGACGGCAATAAAGAGTTCGTTACTGCTGGTGTGAAGTCAGTTTTATTGAAAATCTTATAATTTCTTTGCCATTGACATCAAAACCACAGTCGAACTAAAATACAACATAAACTTAAATAAGATGGTGTCATGAGTAGGAAATGACATAATAAATAATATAAATACATATAAACAAACCTCGCTGGCTGACCCTTCCTTTTGAGGTAGAAATGAGAAATAAAGGACCTTTTAAACTTAAATTTCTTTGTAAAACTTTTTGCAAATGTCATGCCTTCATGCTGTGTGCATCTTTTTCTTCTAGTTTTTCAACGAACATGCTAGATTCCACTTCCTAAAGAAACCTTTCAAAATAAGAGTCATAATAACAAAAAATTTGAATAATACAAAATAAAACATGTAAACTAAAAATATGGCAGTAAAAATGTACACTGAGGGGTGGCTGAAAGTAGATAGGCACCAAAACCTCACGGTCAATCTGTTCCAAAAGGAAAATAATTAGAAAAACATTCATATTTTCTAAATAAAGACAAACTTTTCCACAGCCTTTGCTAACAAATAGAGGAATATATTCAAACACCCGTGCTTTCTACATAAAAGGTATAGTGGATAAAATTCTTTCAGGTTTGACTTTTGGGCGAACATCTCTTCAATTGTCATTACTTACCTTTTATCAGTAATTCTGCATAAAAGTGATATTTACAAACACTAATTTCTACATAAACTGATAATTTAAACATTTTTTATTAAAATATTTCTGTATGATTTCACTGAAGACAGAGACTCATCATTTTCTCTTTACCCAATAAAACACAAAATATATTTCTGTAAAGAGCAGGAATTCTCTACTTATCATCTTTAATGTTAGTATATTGATGTGCAGAATTAACCAAAGTGTTTTTATTGTCATGCATTTCAATCAAAATTCAGTGCAAAGTTTCCTGCCGTGGTCTGAGCGCCAAAGACTAAAGTAATTTTATCAATAAACTTCTTCTAATTGTGTTTTCTCTCCAAATTGGTGGACACTGATTTAATATTATCCGCCTTCTGATGGCATTTTAAGGAAATTATTTTTATCATAAACATAATTAATGTAAAGTTTTATGGGGCCCCCATGAACTAGGGCCCCTGGGGAATTGCCTAGTATTGCCTGATGGTAAATCCTCTAACCAAATGCGAAGTTTTCCCTTTTTTTTTTCCAGCAAAAGAAGCTGCTGTGAAACAGAGGACAGAGTGTTTTAATTAAGAGCGGCCGCTGCGGGGCCATTTTTAGAAAGGGTTGCCCTCTTTTACGCACGAGCTGCCCACAGTGAAGCTCTGAGGCTCCAGCTTGGACCCAGGCTGGTCACCTCAGTCAGGCTCCACTGTGTCAACAAGCCGCAGGCAGCTCTGAGAATGGCAGCGCAAACAGGCAGCTTTCATAAACCAAAGATGGAGAAAAAAATCAGCTTAAATCTGAACAAACATGACATAAAATAAAGAGTTAGAAAGGTGTTACCTGGGTCATCATGCGGTCTGCGCCTGTGTTCTCCTCATCCTTGAAGATGATGTCCGGGTTGTAGTTGGGGATGAGCTCCTTGAAGCGCTCAGAGTTCCGCGTGATTTTCCCCTCAAACTTCCCGCTGGCCCCCAGGGTCTGCTCGGCCACGTTGGGGCTGAACTGCTTCAGGATGAGCGGCACCAGCTTCCGCGGGGCCCGCCTCCTGCCGTGGCCCTTCCCCGGCCCGCAGCCCTCGCTGAGCGGCCACAGGAGGAAGGCGCACCCGGCCAGGCACGTCACCAGCGTGGGGAGCTGCATTCCCCGCGGTGTGGCCGAAGAAGCGTGGAAGTGTCCCCCCACTTTCTGTCAGACTGTGGGATTAGACAGGTGAGGGTGGAGCAGGACTCATCGCAGAGTCCCCACCGGTGACCATCCCAACGGCGTCAAGGCGTCCAGAGGAGCTGCGCAGGAGGCAGGGGGCATAAATAGGTGAGGTGAGTTTATTTTGGCAGGCAGGTTGAAAGCTGCCACTCTGAGGCGCGGCAGCTGCGTGGGCCTGGCAGGACTCTCAGTGCGCCGCAGCCTGGCAGCTGAGTGGGAATGGAAGAGATCCCACAGCGGGACAGATGAGGAGGAGGACCGCGCCCTGCTGGACCTGCCCTCTGCCCGGTCCTCTCCTCCCATCCTGATGGCACGGGCGCGCGCTCAGCCTGGCGATGGAGCGACGTCAGGACAGGCGCGCGCACAGTCAGGTGTTTTTCACCCAGAATCAGAGCTCATGTTAAGGATTAAACTTCTCAAATTACTTTAAACATTCAATTATTACAAACTGTTCAATATTTTATCATTCTTTTAAATTAAGAGTAATTTTTTATCTCAATGTGCTTCACTGGAGGCAAAGAATTCCTGTTTATTGAGGTTTTCCCGCTGAAGATGTGGGAGTTTCAGGAAACTGAAGGTTTTCTCTGGAGAAATCTGAAAAGGAGCCGATGAGGCAAACAGAAGACTTCAATGACATTCCAGGGATGCTGCAACACCTTGAGTCAACATCTCCATGAGGTCCGAGAAAGATGAGAGCGGCTCATTGTGTCTGAGTCTGGAAAAAAACATCCAGTCAATGTTTAAAAAACCCTTTAAGGACTCGGTACCAAGCCCAACTGAAACCTGCTGATGTTTATCTATTTATAGAAATGGCCAAAACACAGTCACATGGTGTTTCATCCACACGCCTTTCAAATCTCTACTTCTAGTTATTTTTTCACAAGTACATTTAGTTTTATAGCTACGAAAGAGGATTAGGGCCACTGAAAAAAAAAAGTTAACTGATTTTTAAATTTTATTTCAGTTTAACATGGGAACAAACTGACTTTGATCTTAGAATTCTGACTGAATTCTGACAATAAAAAAGTCAGAATTCTGAGAAAAAAGTCAGAATTCTGAGATTAAGGTCAGAGTTCTGACTTTTTTCCCATACTATACTGAAAAAAAAAATAAGTCAGTTAACTTTTTTTTTTTTTTTCAGTGGCCCTAATCCTCTTCTGTAGAAAGCTAACCACTAAAATGATATTAAAATTCCACCTGACATGTGTGACTGCAGGAATAATGCAAAAGCAGCTACTTTTAGCCCCGCCCCCTAATGGCCACTATCATTGGAAACTAGAGGCTCAGACCTTTCCAAGGAGGGGTCAGAGGTCATTATTCCACCATTTCAGGCGATGTAACCGGCATGCGTTATATGAACTTGCTCTGTCATTCTTATTTTCTACTCAGTTTCGTGAAATTATTGGCAAATTTCAAAGAAAAGACTAAATGATTCCCTTTAATGAGTCGAAAAATGCATTTTGCACTTTTGGCCGAAATCCCATTTCATCCTAGCACACTGCCCACTAACAACTTTGTGGAACAAACATGCTTTAACTTATTCAGTCCAAATTAGCTTGACATACAGTCAAGATATGGATCAATTTGATAAAGCTTATAGTAAGATTGGCTCCGGTAATCCTGAGTGTTAGAGCCAAAGTTAACGGTTTATATTTTGTTTATTATTTGGTGACACAGCTGGGGGGGTTGCTTAGGGGGTGTGGTCCCTTGTTATTTTAGATGAACCCAGTAAGTTGGGTGAGTAGGTTTTTGTCAAACTTTTCTTTTGACCTTCATTGTCGTCATTTGTAACTTTTTTAAATATAAATAAGAAAGAAAACGCAAGTGGGGCTCAGGATGGCTTCTTGGAGACGTGTCACAGCGCACAAAACTTCTCAGCCAGCAGCAGCTCTGTTGGTGGATTGAAGTCGCTACTGAGCTATCTCTATAGTTATGCTGCTATAGGCTTACACTGCTGGAGGACATAGGGACCCCTATTTCATCATTCTGCTTCATTCTATCTCTATTTTCCCACTCCCAATTTGCTTGACTTAAAGTCAAGATGTGGATCTATAAAGTCAGAGGGTTCATCCACAGTTTTTAATGGGGTTTCATCACTGCAAAAAATATAAATCTCAATAAGTTATTTTTTCTTAAAATAAGTGTGTTTTTCCTTGATTTGAGGAGATAAGTAAGACACTTTGCCAATGGAACAAGACAATTTCCTTTTAAAATAAGAAAAAACTATTTTATCGTCTTATTTCAAGTAAATATTATCTAACTATCTTATTTTAAGAGTGAAAATACTCATTCCATTGGCAAATCATCTTATTTACCTGCTCAAATTAAGGCTAAATATACTTAATTTAAGCCATTTTTTACTTATTTCTGGATTGTTTTTGCAGTGATGGTGTTTATTTTTGAAAAAAAAATTTGATGAGGCTAAACATTTTCCTATTTTCTTTGTTTATTCACCTATAAATCAGACATGGTGACATTTCAAATAGTGGTTTCACCTGCAAAATATTCCTCAATGCCTTTCCGTCCCATAAATACAAACAATTTTATTTCCAATTTATAGTTTGGGAGCTGGAATTGTTTAATTCACATATGGAATTTTCGGGCGGAATTTGTTCCCTTAAAAACTGAGCCAGCACATTATGCGAAAAAACAGTGACAAAACATCAATTAAAAGTTTAAAACCAAGTTTATTTAACAGAAATTCTATGATAGAGCTGAAGGTTTAAAACAGTCTGAATGGGTTTAGATTTAAAACTTCAACAATTGAATCTAAAACATTAAAACTCAGAGTCTAAAACAGTCCGCCGCAGTTAAAGCTTTAAAACAGGAAGCCGCTCTGATGTTTGGGTCATCTGAAGAGCCCCACCTTCTTCTTCTTTGGTTTGGAGGCCTGTCGCTCCGCAGGGCGGGCCGTGACGAGCGCAGACTGCCGGAGGAAGAGGAGACGTTTAAAGCCTTCGTCTAACTTTGTCCTTTGACATCATGAACTAAATTCTACCACGTCATGTAACTAAAACAAATTATTTTGCCTCAACTACAAACATCAGTGTTTTTTTGTGGGATTTAATCAGTAAAAACCAAAAAAGCAGCGCATGATAATTGATGTTTTTCACATTTTTTTCATCCAGGAAATGATCTAAAAAAGTGTTTCCTTCACATTTAATAGAAAGTAAGAACTAAATTAAAGGATGCAGGTTTTCTGCAGCCAACAGGCTCTTCCATAAAGGCCAGATTTTCCTCTACATGCTGTAATCTGGATGGGTTGGAGCACAGGGGTACCTTGGTCTGTGCCGCTCTGCTGCTGCTGTTCCTCCTGTCGTTTGGTTCATCCTCCTCCCTGGAGGTTTGATTCGCGTCGCCCATCTTTTGCTCGTCTTCCACGGATCGAATATCTGCTGGTTGCAGACAGCACAGAACAAATGAAACGGGGTGTTATAGTCTTATTGTAGCTATATCGGAGTTTAAATTGTGGAGGATTTTTAAAAAAGACTCGCCTTCTTTCCAAAAAGTTTAAAAAAACTCCAAACGAAAGTCATGAGAGATAAGAATGAGTTACGCAGTTTCCTCCATGGCATAAATTAGGAGATCCATCTAACCAGTGAGAGATATATTAACCTAACAGGGAACGGCCTTGATGAACTGAAGTTGTTTTTCCTCCAAATGTTCAAGTGTGAGAAAGTTCTTTATGTTGGGGGTGGGTTGGTTCCCCTGGGGGGAGTTGTGTGTGTGTTGGGATTTTAAGGTATAAATCTTTGTTAAACAGGGTTCCTACAGCATAAGGCAAGCTAAATTCAAGACTTTTTAAGACTTTTTAATGCCACTTGAAATAAAAATTTAAGACCAAATTCACAAGAAACACAAGAAAAACCTGCTTGCAACAACTTAACCCAAAGGTTTATTTTAACATAAACCACTGCACTGATGTTTCAAATTGTGAAAAGCTTCCCATACAGGAAGAAAGCTAAAAACACACAGATGACAGATATATTTGAACAATTATTTAACTGAATTCACAAACTTTGTTTTAGCAGGGAACAAAACAAATCAGTTTTAAAGCCCCAACATAACCAGTGCTAAGTCTTTTTTGCAGCTATTTTTCTTTGTATGGTTTTCTTAGTATGTTTGATTTGGTGATAAGTGGAGGCGTTGCAGAGACAAGGGTGGAACTAAACTGAGAAATACCGGCTGTTTCTCAGTAACTCCATTTTAACGCTTTGTGTTTAGTGCTTCGCATGTGTGACTCCACTGCCTTAATTCCCATCGTTCCTAGCTTAAAATCCACTGAGCCTCATGTATGTTCCCTGGTTTTAGCCATGGAGAAAACTCTTGGCTGGAGACAATTTTCATTACATTTACACTTGCTCATATTTTCCAGACAAAAAGTTAATGGTGCATCTCCCAAATGTCCCGGCCGCAACAACGCTTTTATTGGTTCCGCTATCGGGACGGAACCAATAATGGCGAGCTGTTATTTTTTAAAAATAAAAAAAAGGTCAATTTTAATGTTTTATTTAGATTACAAAAACAAATCGTAATAAAAATATTCCTATTTATGACGTAAGACCTACGAAAGACTGATTTAAGACATTTTAATACCAATTAAGGCCTTAGTTTTATTTTGAAGAAGGACCCGCGGGAACCCTGGTTAGAGGGAATTGTTGGCCTGGCTGAAGAGGCGAGTTCTTCTGTTCCGCTGTAAAGGGCTTGAAATGATGGCGGGAAGGGATCAACTCTATCGCTGCATTATAGGTTTTTGAAAGCTGAAATCTGAGTTCCCCCCCCCCCCCCTCTGTTTAAGGTTGTTTTTTTCTTATTCTTGGTTTTGCTTCCTTCACACCCCTCTCAAACCACCTGTCTTCTTTGTCCAAAATGTTCACATTTTTGTCAAAGCTTCTTGCTGCTGAATTTTTTGGAGCTTGATTTTTTGCAGGCAAACTTTAACCAGATATAAATTCAGTGTAAGGAATTCAATGCGTAAAAAAATAAAGTTTTTAAAAGACGTTGTACAAAATAAAGGCAGATTCCAATGAGACGGTTTTTCTCCGTACCCTGACTTCCTGTCTGACGCGATGCTAACCTGGAGTTAACGTTTGGGCGGCTGCTTCTGTTGAAGGCTGGTTCTGTTCGGCGCCGGTCTCTTCAGGCCATTTGCGTTTTCGTGCGCCTCTGTGAGCGACGATGGCGCCGTACAGCCGCTGGAGGTCGGCGCTGAAGCCAAATGCGTCCGACGGTTGAGAGCACAGCAGAGGAAGAGACTAAAGAGGAACAAGAAGCTGAGATTTCAGGTCAATCTTCAAAAAAAAAAAAAAATACAAGAACTCTAAATAAAAGGAAGCACCAAACGTTCAGCCTTTGATGGGTGAAGGAAAAGTTTGGTTATAACGTTTTACAGAATCCAAAGGCAAAATAATCTGAACATGAGTAGGACTGAAAGGATTATTCTGATGATGGATTATTGAAATGATTGTTTAAACCATGAATTAGAGTAAAAATACACTTAAAGATGCAATTAGCTGAACGAACTGTTCAAAATATGTGAAGCTTTTCCATTTAAGATGGAAAAACCTTTTATTGGTAAATATGCAGCCAGAATTGCTCAGTTTCTATAAGATAAAACATCCAATTAAAATGAATTAAAATATATGAATCAACTGTTTTTATATACAGATGCATATATATATATATATATATATATATATATATGCAGACATACATAAAACATGGATAAAACAATCCACAAACTAATTTAAAATTAACTTCCTAAAAAAAATTCATGAAAAAAAAATCATTTTTTAAAATCTTATTTTCAGGAAAACTGAAGAAAATAAAAGTTTTTAGCTGCTCAGAACCCAAATTTATAATTCTCTAAAATAAACCTGCACACAGAACGCTGAACATGGGAACGCTGAACACGGAGCGCTGAACACGGGAACGCTAAACATGGAACGCTGAACACGGGAACGCTAAACATGGAACGCTGAACACGGGAACGCTGAAGACGGAACGCTGAAGACGGAACGCTGAACACGGGAACGCTGAACACAGAACGCTAAACATGGAACACTGAACACGGGAACGCTGAACACGGGAACGCTGAACACGGGAACGCTGAACACGGGAACGCTGAACACAGAACGCTGAACACGGGAACGCTGAACACGGGAACGCTGAACACGGGAACGCTGAACACAGAACGCTAAACACAGAACACTGAACAAGGGTACGCTGAACACGGGAACGCTAAACACGGAACGCTGAACACCGGAACGCTAAACATGGAACGCTGAACACGGGAACGCTGAAGACGGAACGCTGAAGACGGAACGCTGAAGACGGAACGCTGAACACGGAATGCTAAACACGGAACACTAAACACGGAACACTGAACAGGGAACGCTGAACATGGACCGCTGAACACGGGAACGCTAAACACGGAACGCTGAACACGGAACACTGAACAGGGAACGCTGAACATGGAACGCTGAACACGGGAACGCTAAACACGGAACGCTGAACACGGGAATGCTGAACACGGAACGCTGAACACGGAACACTGAACACGGAACGCTGAACACGGAACGCTGAACACGGAACGCTGAACACGGGACGCTGAACACGGGAACGCTGAACACGGGAACGCTGAACACGGGAACGCTGAACACAGAACGCTAAACACAGAACGCTAAACACGGAACGCTGAACTCGGGAATGCTGAACATGGACCGCTGAACACGGGAACGCTAAACACGGAACGCTGAACACGGAACACTGAACAGGGAACGCTGAACATGGAACGCTGAACACGGAACGCTGAACACGGGACGCTGAACACGGGAACGCTGAACACCGGAACGCTGAACACGGGAACGCTGAACACAGAACGCTAAACACAGAACGCTAAACATGGAACACTGAACAGGGAACGCTGAACATGGACCGCTGAACACGGGAACGCTAAACACGGAACGCTGAACACGGAACACTGAACAGGGAACGCTGAACATGGAACGCTGAACACGGGAACGCTAAACACGGAACGCTGAACTCGGGAATGCTGAACACGGAACGCTGAACACGGAACACTGAACAGGGAACGCTGAACATGGAACGCTGAACACGGGAACGCTAAACACGGAACGCTGAACACGGGAATGCTGAACACGGAACGCTGAACACGGAACGCTGAAGACGGAACGCCGAAGACGGAACGCTAAACATGGAACAGTGAACAGGGGTACGCTGAACACGGGAACGCTAAACACGGAACGCTAAACATGGAACGCTAAACACGGAACGCTGAACACGGGACGCTAAACACGGAACGCTGAACACGGGACGCTAAACACAGAACGCTAAACACGGGAACGCTGAAGACGGAACGCTGAAGACGGAACGCTAAACATGGAACAGTGAACAGGGGTACGCTGAACACGGGAACGCTAAACACGGAACGCTGAACACGGGAACGCTGAAAACGGGAACGCTGAACACCGGAACGCTAAACATGGAACGCTGAACACGGGAACGCTAAACACGGGAACGCTGAACACGGGAACGCTGAAAACGGTAACGCTGAACACCGGAACGCTAAACATGGAAAGCTGAACACGGGAACGCTAAACACGGGAACGCTGAACACGGGAACGCTGAAGATGGAACGCTGAAGACGGAACGCTGAACACGGGAACGCTGAACACGGAATGCTAAACACGGAACGCTAAACACTGAACACTGAACAGGGAACGCTAAACACGGGAACGCTAAACACGGAACGCTGAACACGGGAATGCTGAACACGGAACGCTGAACACGGAACACTGAACACGGAACGCTGAACACGGGACGCTGAACACGGAACGCTGAACACGGAACGCTAAACACGGAACGCTAAACACGGAACGCTGAACACGGGACGCTGAACACGGGACGCTGAACACGGGACGCTGAACACGGAACACTGAACACAGGAACGCTGAACACGGGAACGCTGAAGACGGAACGCTGAACACGGAACGCTGAACACGGAACGCTGAACACAGAACGCTAAACATGGAACACTGAACAGGGGTACGCTGAATACGGGAACGCTAAACACGGAACGCTGAACACGGGAACGCTGAACACGGGAACGCTGAACACGGGAACGCTGAACACGGGAACGCTGAACACTGAACGCTAAACATGGAACACTGAACACGGGTACGCTGAACACGGGAACGCTAAACACGGAACGCTGAACACGGAACACTGAAAAGGGAACGCTGAACATGGAACGCTGAACACGGGAACGCTAAACACGGAACCCTGAACACAGAACGCTAAACATGGAACACTGAACAGGGGTACGCTGAACACGGGAACGCTGAACACGGGAACGCTGAACACAGAACGCTAAACATGGAACACTGAACACGGGTACGCTGAACACGGGAACGTTAAACACGGAACGCTGAACACCGGAACGCTAAACACGGAACGCTGAACACGGGAACGCTAAACATGGAACGCTGAACAGGGGAACGCTGAACACGGGAACGCTAAACACGGAACGCTGAACACAGAACGCTAAACATGGAACACTGAACAGGGGTACGCTGAACACGGGAACGCTGAACACGGGAACGCTGAACACAGAACGCTAAACATGGAACACTGAACACGGGTACGCTGAACACGGAACGCTGAACACGGAACACTGAAAAGGGAACGCTGAACACGGAACGCTGAACACAGAACGCTAAACATGGAACACTGAACAGGGGTACGCTGAACACGGGAACGCTGAACACGGGAACGCTGAACACAGAACGCTAAACATGGAACACTGAACACGGGTACGCTAAACACGGAACGCTGAACACGGAACGCTGAACACGAAACGCTGAACATGGAACGCTGAACATGGAACACTGAACAGGGGTACGCTGAACACGGGAACGCTGAACACGGGAACGCTGAACACAGAACGCTAAACATGGAACACTGAACACGGGTACGCTGAACACGGGAACGTTGGGAACGCTGAACGCTGAACACGGAACACTGAACACGGAATGCTGAACACGGGAACGCTGAACACGGGAACGCTAAACACGGAACGCTGAACACGGAACACTGAAAAGGGAACGCTGAACATGGAACGCTGAACACGGGAACGCTGAACACGGAATGCTAAACACGGAACGCTAAACACGGAATGCTGAACACGGGAACGCTGAACACGGGAACGATAAACACGGAACGCTGAACACGGAACACTGAAAAGGGAACGCTGAACATGGAACGCTGAACACGGGAACGCTGAACACGGAATGCTAAACACGGAACGCTGAACACGGGACGCTGAACACGGAACGCTGAACACGGGAACGCTGAACACGGGAAAGCTGAAGACGGAACGCTGAACACGGGAACGCTGAACACGGAATGCTGAACACGGGAACGCTAAACATGGAACGCTGAACAAGGGAACGCTAAACATGGAACACTGAACACGGGTACGCTGAACACGGGAACGCTAAACACGGGAACGCTAAACACGGAACTCTGATGACCGGAACGCTAAACATGGAACGCTGAACACGGGAACGCTAAACATGGAACACTGAACACGGGAACGCTGAACACGGGAACGCTGAACACGGAATGCTGAACACGGGAACGCTAAACATGGAACGCTGAACACGGGAACGCTAAACATGGAACACTGAACACGGGTACGCTGAACACGGGAACGCTGAACACGGAATGCTGAACACGGGAACGCTAAACATGGAACGCTGAACACGGGAACGCTAAACATGGAACACTGAACACGGGTACGCTGAACACGGGAACGCTAAACACGGGAACGCTAAACACGGAACTCTGATGACCGGAACGCTAAACATGGAACGCTGAACACGGGAACGCTAAACGTGGAACGCTGAACATGGGAACGCTGAAGACGGAATGCTGAAGACGGAACGCTGAACACGGAATGCTAAACACGGAACGCTGAAAAGGGAACGCTGAACATGGAACGCTGAACACGGGAACGCTGAACACGGAACGCTAAACACGGAACGCTGAACACGGGATGCTGAACACGGGACGCTGAACACGGAACGCTGAACACGGAACGCTGAACACGGGACGCTGAACACGGAACGCTGAACACCGGAACGCTAAACATGGAACGCTGAACACGGGAACGCTAAACGTGGAACGCTGAACATGGGAACGCTGAAGACGGAATGCTGAAGACGGAACGCTG